AATTGTATATCATAGAACAAAATTGAACTAATCAGGTTAAAAATTACTTTAAAAAAAAAGTAATTCTATGCAATTTAACTAAAAGTAACTTAACTTTTTAACTCATTAATGCCCAGCCGCCTTCTTAATAACACTATTATAATTTATAACAACTTCACATTTACTATAGTCGGCTTTATTAACAATTTATTGATACTTGTTAATTCACTGCTAAATAGTAAATTGTTCAACCACACCTTTGATAAGCTATAAATATTGTCTAATACCTCTATTACAAAATAAAATGTTCTCTCGACTTAACACATTATTAGAAACTAGCACAAGCTCATTGCTTTTTTATGCAAATTATAAACAGGGAGCGGCATAATTCGGTTCCCTCTGTCTTATTAAAAACTGCTTATTATTATTGAGGAACCGACTTTTGCTACACGATATATTAGGACATATATATTTATATTATTGGTATGCATTGATTTTTTTCAAAAAGTAGAGAATATAATGAAATTAACAAATACTCAAAATGAAAAGTAAGTAACTAACTTTTTACTTTTTTTGATTACAATTTACAACAATTTGTCATCAATAAATAATGTAATCAACCAACTTTTTCTTATTATTTAGACCTTTATTAATAAAATGTCTATATTAATTATATATAACATTACATTATCGGAATGTATATTCATTTCAGCACATTATTTGTTTTCTCTTTTTGATCCATACACAATAGAGCAAATTTGCATCCTATAGAACGGTAGAACCAAGATTGAGTTGTCAGCGTTGGTATATAGCAGCATTTCCCAACAGGTTGTAAGCAGAGCCTTAGGAATCCTCAAAATTATCTGTAAATATATAAAAATTAAATTATTTGTTTTTGTTTTTTTTTTTGTTAAGGAGTATGCAATCATTTTTCAGGAGGAAAAGTAGTTGGAAACGCTGATTAGAGTTATTTGACAGACTTCCAAACTTAAAAATTAGAAAATTATCGGTTTTTGTACATTTGAAATTTTTATGCATGCTGTAAAATATTAGTTAAAAAATGCTCAAATTTCACTTTAAAATTTAAATATAGTATAAAAAGCAAGATACAAACACAGATTATGTTCTTTACCTTAAGTTTGATAGTATGTCAAATCACTCTATACTAAAATGACACAATGTCAGTTCTGTTGGATACAAATTTGCTATCTTGTGCATGGGTCAGAGAGAGTAAACAAATATTGCAATGACATCCTTTTATTTATTTAAAAATATTTATTATGATCATTATAAATACTCACACTTAAAACACATCAATAGTTCGACCAATATTTCTAAAAATAAATAAAGACAAAACAAATGCAATTAGTAAATATAAATATAAATCTAAAACAACTTAATAATATATGATTGTAAATGTTGGATTGCATTATCAGTAAAATAAAAAAAGGAAAATAATGACAGACTCGCATAATGAAATTAGAAACAATAATTTAAGCATACAATTTAAATATAAATTACCCATTGAGTGTGTTATCTTGATGGATTTTTCAGGAAAAAAATAGCTTACTTGTAGCTATAGATCATATTATTAAATAATCATCAATAAGGATTATGATAGTAATCGTATAAGTAGTTGCTTATACATTATATAGCACAAAATATTCAGTAGAAGATTATTAATAGCTAACACTTCACAGGTAGACAGTAACCGAAGTGACAAATTATATATAGAAACAGACCACAAAGTGGGATCAAGGAAAAAGTTGATTTAGATAATTTAGCTTAAAAGTAAACAATAAACTTCATAATACAACTAAAAAAAAAACATACAAACATATTATTATTGTTTAAATTTAATTTTATTATGAATGTAAATGTATTACTAGGATTATAATACAATTAAAAATGAAATAAAATATATTAATTATTTTATCCTACTTTTACAATTATGAATACAAGGTGATTAGTTTTAAATTTTAACACAAAGCAGACTAGTCAAAAAGTAAAGATCTTCGATTTAATTTTAGTGTTTTTAGTTGTAATACAATATTTAAGTTTATTGTAATACAATAAAATAAATAATACATCAAATAAATAAAACACAGATTATTGAAAGAAGTAATTATGTTTATTGGTAACTACCAGTTTGGATTAAAATTTAAAAGCTATCTTCAGATTTAAATTGTATAATAATATGTTAAATACAAATATAATAATTTTTATCACAAAATAATTGAATAAAATTTATTTCTTATACACAATTTGTATAATGTTTTATATATTAATTATATTATTTTATTTTGTACCCTTTATTCTAAGAACCTTTATGAATGTTTATTTAATTTACTTTCTTTATAAATGTAAAATCCATTTTTAAATTTCATTATAATTGTTATATAGTTTTAAATTAAAATAAAAAATTAATTAAATATTAGTTTAAGGCCATTTTAAAGTTAAACACAAGTAGCAAGAAAGGAAAATGTAATTTATCATTTTCAGTATTCTACAAATTTATAGTTCTCTTACAAAATTTTTAACCGGAATTATCTTGTGAAAAAATAGCTCGAAAATTAATTTTAGGTGGGATGTAAACTTAAGGGGGCGCACAGTAGCATTTGTTGTCTCTGTCTTACAAGTGCGTAACATAGTAAATGTTACGCTTAGCAGAACATGTTTATCTCCGTTAGATTAAAAATTTGAGCAAATTGACCTCTTATACAATTTAAAGGTAAGATTATTATCTAGACAATGACATAAGCTTTTAATTATATTTTAATTTTAAAGCGAGTTTTGAGTATTTTAAGATGTACAAACAGTTTACAATATTAAAATACACATAACCCGCTTTGACGTCAATGTGGCATGCGCACGCCAGTGGCCGACATTATATGACCTGCGGGCGACCATCGCCAATTGTAAAATGAGTAGATTTTACGGAATTGCCAATACGGTTATGAATGTCCTATAGAATTTTTGAATGTGTTCAGCTATAGCCACCAAAAAAAATTCATTACAAAATAGGTTACTCTATGTCAACCATTGGTTGACACCGGCCATGGGCACCCGCCTACTTGTGTGAACGACTGGTTGACATTGGCCACAGGCTCCCGTTTAGTCGTGTCAACTACGGGTTGACTTTAGCGTTTACCGTGTTAAAATTAAAATTATAATAAAAAGCGTATGTCATTGTCTAGATAATAGTCTTACCTTTAAATTTTATAAGATCTCAATTCGCCCTGACAACAAATGTCACTGTAACGTCCCCTTAACGGTAAGTTTATGAATATAATCTTTACTATGCATTATTGATTATTTGTTATAACAATATAATTAATAATTTCAATAATTATTATGCTGCAATTGTAATTATAATATGTGTATGAGTGTACACATGTGTAATAAGTAATAATACAATATCACAATACAATTAATTTAATATAATGTGTAAAAACTAACATTGCGACTTAATTAACTACACTATTAGTTTGTTTAGTTAAGTTGAACCACAATTTGTATTAGACACATATAAATATAATTTTATGTACTAATTTTTTTAAATATTTTGATGACATTTTTGAAAAGATCACTCCGGACCAAAACGCGCATAGAAACACCACTAATTATGTTAACACATAGACCAAAAGTGCATTAATGTTAACAGGGAAAAACATTGCTTTGTGGTTTTTCACCATCATAGTACTTATTCAATATGCTATCTACCATATTTTTATTTTTACTATCGAGTTTACTTACAGAAATAATGAAAAGGTTTTTCAACATTATTAGAATAGTAGAATATTGTGGGTGTGGGGAGACGGGGTAATATGACAAAGAATGAAACAAAATTAAGAAAATTAAAAATATCAAACGGACATTATTAATTAAAAAGACTTAAAATCTTTTTTCCCGTATTTTAAGCAATGACAAATAATACGATATATTGTTGAATAAAATAAATTAGTGGACTATTTTATACATTTACTTAATATTATAAGTATCACAAAAATTATTGTTGAGTAAAATAGAGCATACGCATACATAAGGGTTAGAACTTATAATTGTACATAGAATATACAATAAAAAAATACTAGATAGCATATTGGAAGAGTACTCCCTAGAACATATTCAAATCTTTTAGCATTAAATTAACTTAATTAATTATTTTAATAAATAAATTAGGGGATACATTTTTAATTGCATTCAAGAAAAATTTCAAAATGCTTGTGAAGACACTTTAGAAATAAAAAAATTCAAATATATGTTTATATTCATATATTATATGTATTCTGTTTAACTAAGTTATAAGAATTAAGTTACATGAATATCTTATAAATAATGAAGACTTCAAAAAATATTAAAACCGATAAAGCAACTTTTTTTTTTTATAAACAATAAAAGACAAGCTGAAACATAAATATGTTATTTCATAACTACATGAAGTAGTAAAAACGAGTTATTATTTTATTAATATTTGAAAACCCGTAAGTACATTATGTAATTACAAAAATATTATATGAACAAATGTAAGCAGAGCAGATTTTATTTATTGGATTTCATACTATTTTTTTAAAAAATAAGAAATAAATAAATAAAATAAGGAATACAAATTATATTATCAATAAGATCTACAAAAATATAATGTAAGAACTAAAGATATAGGCTAGGCTATAAGTAGTGATTGGAAACAATTTAAACTAAAAAGTGAAATATTATAAATTGGACACAATAAAATTATTAAATAAAAATGATAGACTAAAACCTTAAAATGCAATAATTCCACCCATGAAAGAGTTTGTAAGTTTGAAGTTTAAACCATAAAGAAAATCAACCATGTTAAATTTTTTAAAAACAAAAGAATGTTTTTTAGAATTTTCTTCAGACTTTCAAAAATTAGAAGTTTACTTAATGATAGTTAAATAAATTATAAAATAATGAAAAACTACTTTAAAATAAAGAATTGTAGTTGGGTAGGACCAAACATTAATATGAATATTGGCGGATTTGGGATCAATTAGCATTCAGTAAGGAGCAAACTTGGTCCTGTCCGCTTTGGTTTTTTCGCCGGAAGGACTGCGGTTTCTCTGGAAATAATTTTTCGGGCGATGGACACCCGTGGTCTGTATCGGAGGGGATTGATTGGCGCCAGATAAGGCTCCCAAGAGGTCGGTTAGGCCGCCAAGAGCAGATAAGCTGGATAGGGCATTAATGGCACCCGGCTTGGCAAATAGTTGAGCCAATGGGATGGCGGACGACAAAGGAGATGCGGCCACTGTTGGAGGAGTGGGCAAGGTTGAGCTGGACCCATCGTCAGGACTAGAGGATGAGTTTGCCCCCTCAAGATTGGCTTTCTGCAGTTCCACGCTAGAGAAGAAATTGGGATTAGTGATAAAAAAGGACATATAATACAATACGAGGGATTTAATGATAACACTAGGATTCTCAACTATGATCCCATGAATGTAGTTTTAAACTTGATAATAAAATTGTACCTCATTTCAATTAAGTACTTGGCAACTGAAATAGAATCTTTGTTTCCTGTAATTGTAATATGTCGATCTTCATTTTCACCATTTTCATGAGTTCCTTCACCTTTAGCTATATGCACTAAAGCACCACTTATTTGTCTACATAAAATACATACAAATATATTTACTATTTATAATTTTTTTTTAAAAATAAATCAATTAATTTCAAATGTTACCATTAATATGATCAATACATGTGATCTAAACTCTAGATCAAGAGTATCTATTAATTAAAACTATTATTTATTCTAGTTGTTAGTATAAAGATTTATTTTTAGGTTGATTGTCATTTTACATTAAGAAAAATTATAGTTTGATTTTCTAATTTTAAGCATTAAACTGAGTAAGAATTTGAAATGAGAATTATCAGAACAAATAATTTCATAAAAGAAATATTAACTTATGAAAGTTAAAGTGTTCAAAATTATAAACACAGTAAAAGTGTATTATAACCAGACTGATTAATATTATATTTTATAAGTATAAATAAAATATATAATACAATACTAATCAATATAAGGAAAAAAAATGTATCTAAATCATCTTTAAAAAATCATTATAAACCTACAGTATCAGTGAGAAATAAAAAAAAAAATGTATTTTTACAATGAGTAGGATACTATGTTTTGTACAACTTACCTTATTTCTGCGATTTTACTCCCTCTTCTGCCAATGACACATCCAATTAAATCATTAGGTACAGTCATAGATATTGTCTCAGTGTTTGAATTAGAATTTTGATTTTTATGTTCCCCACCACCATTTCGGTTTTGACGATTACCTGTTCTCAACTGACTTCCAGCCAATGCAGCTAAGGCTAAACATATAATTTTATTTAATAAAAAAATCATACAAAAAGTAAAGTGATTAATCGCATTGATAAACATCCGTCTACTTTACTATTTAAAATTAAATTTAAAAACTCAGAATATTTTATTATTTATTAGTTCAAACACAAACAAAAATGATTTTCAAGTACGCATCTATAAGCTATTCAAAATATACAAATTGTATTAACTGAAAATAAATGAAGATAATCCTTTATATACATAAATTGTTTGTTTCCAACAAAAAAAATAAGAGTTAAATATATAGGGTTGCCATACATATTGTCGTAAAGTTTTTTAGATTCCGAGCGGAGCGATGAACGTATTAATTTTACAATGATGTTTTTTTTTTATTTTATTTTTTTTTGTGTCCGTCATCATGATTTGGGCAGTAAAACTGAATCAAATTTCTTCAACAGTATCTTCTTTGATGGGAAAGTGAGATAGTTGGTACATACGGGAGGTCAAATTTTAAAATTCTCAATAGCTTTTAAAAGCTCCGGGAAAACGGGAATTGCCCACAAATTGCTTGATATACTTATCATTATAAAATCAAGCTTTGTCACTACTGTTCAAATTTTAAAAACATATTAATACATACCAGCAGGATTGATACCTCCAGTAGATGCAGTTCCTAACCCAAGAGCTGCAAGACTGGCCAAAGGATTAGTGCGTTGTCTTCCAAACTAAAATTATGTTAAAATAAGTACAAAATAAACATTATTAATAAATCTTAATTGGTAATAAGAAAAGAAACTTACATCATTACCAACTGCACTACTAGCAAATCCTGAAGTTTTGCTACGAGGATCATAAGGGATTGTTGCACTACGTGGTGGCGACTGAAAATTTATAAATTATATTAGATATTTAATATTGACTTAGAATATACAATAATTTCAGTAACTAAAATATACTGAAAATCAAGTGAACTAATGGAAAAAAACATTGTGGAAACCAATATTATAATACCTACATTAGCCTGTCTCAATAACTAAAATGTCAAGGAGAATAAACATAAATTAGACTCATGTATTATTCAAGTTATATACCTCAAGGCTTAAGTACAACTTATAAATACTTAGAGGCAAGCTAATAAATAAAAGTTTGAGTTAAAGGGCCTTGCTACTGGCGTCAATTTTAGCTCAAAAGACCTCGACATTTTTACAAAATTCAAGTTAATTTATCTGATTTTGATTCTGAAAAAATTTTAACTCAACAGAAAATTGGCTATAGATAGTAAGGACCACTTCATAAAATTAAATCTTATATTATGGTGATTGAAAATTAAAAATTAAAATGGAGTGTTTCGTACAATAAACAGACATTTTTCTGCTGAATTTAAAAATTTTTCAGAATCAAAACCAGACAACGTTAATTAAGTTTAATTTTTTCAAAACAATAAGTAAGTTATCGTAAAATTTGTACAGTGAAATTTATAATGTTATCAAGTTATTGATATGTGCATGTGAGTAAAAGATTAGTACCCCTATTGAATTTCACGCACACTAATAATCATTTACAAATAACCCACACATCCTGTGAGGCTAAGGAGAGATTAGAAATATCCTAAATGATGTCCCTTAAATAGTAGCTACAGCGAGGCAGCGTAAGATGTTTTTCGAGTGTTTGAGACTAATTAATTTCCAGAATACAAATATGACTTCATATTTTTATTATTAATATTTTTTAAAACATAAATATAGCTAACTGTCTAAACACCAACAGAACTTAATTTAATTATCCCAAATTATTAATGTATTACTGTAGTTAAATTTCTTTGAGCCTCGGACAGTTTTCTTACTCGTTTACCTAATATAAATAACACTCATCCAAAAATCAAAACCACTTCAATCATTGTCTAATAAATTTAAATACCTTAACATTATTAAAATTTATGGATCATTTAATCTCGCGTTTCCACTAGAATAGGTACCATACTTCAACTATATAATTTACTTAATGCTTGAAATAATTATTCTATTTTTCCTTACATCTAATAGTACATTGCACACTTGATAAACACATTGAGATATTGTTCCCGTAGTACCAGTGATTGAAACTAGACGTTCAGTTGAATTGGGTAACATGTCTGATGCTACTTGTATGGCAGCTCCACTTGATTCTCTAATTTCTTTTATTTTACATCCACCTTTACCAATTATGAAACCACATTGAGATGCTGGTACAATTAGTTTAAAAGTCAAAGGTGCTTTTGGGCCATTCCAGTCGCCATTCTGTCTCTCAAAAAACTAAAAAAAAAGTTAAAAATGTAATTTTTAAATTTAGATTTTCATAAAGGTTCTTACTTCTTCGACTTTTAGTCCAATAAGTTCAGTAGCTTTACAAATTGCATTTGTAGTTCCAGTAATTGTCACAATACGTTCTGGAGTTGAACCATCAGAGATTAAAACTCTCGCACCAGACTAAAAAAAATATTAAATTATTTAAAAACATAAACAAGTTGAACAATTGTTTAACTATTTACCTGGTCTCTTATATTTTTTACAGTTTCACCTCCTTTACCAATCACATTTCCTACTTCCTAAAGTCAAAAAAAGAAAATATGTATTTTATCATAAAAATCAATATACTACGTGCATATAATATAAAACAAAGTGCACACATTTAGTTTACAATTTGCAAGCTACATTTTGAAAAGACACTACATTAATCATATAATTATTGCTTCCTTATAAATGTAAATATAATAATTGTTTTTTTTTTCAATGTTTTAGGCAAATACATTTATTAAAAAAAAAAAATCTAAAAAAATCTATAAATATATTACAAGTTCTCTCTCGGTGGTCATATCCGATATCATACTTTTGTAATATACTGGTAGCCTGAGTGACTACTTGTATATAAACGTTGCAGGTAGCAAGACCGTGATGATGATGATGATAGGGTGTATGTTTAAATAAACATAGACAGTTATAATATAATGTGATTTTATTTGTAATGTCCTTCAGTGAAAAATGACAATAATATTACAGAGTATCGTGAACAGCTGAGTGGACACGTCTGAATACTGGCCGTTTCGGGGTCCCTCTTATAGTCCGGTCCCCGCTCCCCTTGTCTAGTGATACTGTATCTCGGTTCTCACGGATGTGGCCTATGTGGCCATCGACCTAGCCCACGCACTTGCGAAATTCAGTCTATTCTGGGTATTACCGTAGTATACTGATAGTTAATCTATGAATTGCCAATTTTATATTGAGTACCTGTCATATATAGTGCTATTGCGAAGTATTACATCTGCCTAGTCTATAAGATTCTAGAATCGTATCACACTGAGCCAATAATGATTAATCGTAAATTTGTTTATCCTTTCGTTTTGGTCACTATACCTCCCATGGGCTGTTTGATTATTTTGTATTAGAACACAATCGAACGTTAACTAGCTAATTTCTATTTCCATTTGACGTATCTGATTATTACCTATCTACAGTATACTATACTTAATATGGTACTCGTTGGGATGACTTTAACTGTTACGTAGTAACTAGGGTTACTACATTTTTATGGTATTATAAGATATTCCGTCATCTTCTGAATATTGAGAGAATAATAGGAGAGTATAGTTAATGTTATTGTCTTTAAGTTTAATAATGGATTGATTCTTACTTAATATTAAAAACATAACTATGGAAAACAGTCGTGCAGACAACAAATGCACTTGTGAGCGTGCTCTTAAAAATAACACAATATACGAATAAAAAAAAATATTAAACAACATACTCTGCCGTGAAATAGAATCCGTATGGTCAAATTGATATCATTGTAATCGTTGAAACTAGATCCGTTGGAACTTTGCTGGACGTTTTCCATTTTCACCTGAACAGAAATCGTCGAGAATTCACTGTGCAATATTTACCTGATCAATAACGGAAAGAATTATAACATTTAACCGACAGGTCTACAGACACCAACTAATCGTATGGCGTACTTACTACCTGTCAGCAAAGCACTGTGCACGACGTACCTAAGGGCTACGATCGCTGCAAAAGTGCAAATCCAAGTTCGGTATCATTAATTACTCGGGTATAATATTTCCCGAGTAAAATAATTTGTCGTTTATTATTAATAAATTAGGTATGATATAATATGTAATATTATAATTAATATTATTAAATTATTAAATTATTAAATAGTTATGTGATACAGGAATATTTTGATTTTCGATATTCGCGTGATAGACGCAAGGAACAACGCAGTGTTACCGTTTGTAAAAAAAAATATAACACTCTTCTCAGCCCCTCCCACAAACAATAGTATAAAAAAGGTAAAAACACTAAAAACTACTCATATGGCCATATAGTACAATGGTAAATAGTGATGGACGACGGTATTCGTGCTGAATTTTTCTATCCAAAAATCTTTGAAATCGCACTATTATTTAAGGAGTTATCACGTTGTTAGTAATCACAATTACACGGTGTTGGGTCTGAAATAATTAACTAAATGAATTATCCTGCAAAATAATGGAAAACAGTGTTACTGACGTATTACTGTGTTTTGAAATTGTACAGCCGAGTTGTTGTATAGTACGGCGTCATTATAAATAATACAAATAAAAATATATAATATTAATATATTTAATGGTAAAATTAAAAAAAAAAATAGGTAGCAAATGTATAATTGATATAACCTCATCACCATAAAAATTAAAATAGAAATCATTATTTATATTATGATGATTGCACTTCAGCAGTTCAGCGTAGGTTTGAAACTTTGAGCTCGTCGCAGTCATTGGGTCACTGCAGGATTACTTATATCACATAATACATAATACATAAGTATATTATAGAATATAATATACTTAGAAGAGTATAATATAAATCAAGTTATCTATTTCCGGGCGGGGTTTTTGAATTTTTGAAAATCACAACAGCAAGTTAGAAAATTGATGCGAATACGAATTTTGTTCATGGGCCATGGTTGATAGTTTGATACATCATACAGGATGCCTTTAAAACCATCGAAATGTCGAATAGTAACATGTTACATAGCTATAATTATACGTCTATACCTACATATTATTTCCACTTTCCAGTCCTGGCGACTGAATAGTAAATTAATCCGAGATAATTGGGCGATGGGCGCAATATCATAATAGAAAGACGATTTGTTATCAATTATTATTGAAAGTAAAATCATTAACCTGAAATATAACTTACCCGTGAAGTCGTTAGAGGTGTTTTCTTACTAGGTTTGTAGCTACGTTTTGCAGATTTTGGTAGGTTTCTGTCAAATAGACGAGGCGCAGATGTGGTGGAATATGGTCTATACACACAACTTTAAGAATATTCTATGAAACTATCGTACATCGATGGTCGGAGACGATGATGGCGGCCATACAATAGGTAGTGTGTATATTAAACTGGTATAATATAATTAATGATTTGTAATTATTATTTATTATTACGAAGCTGTCTGAACTCCGACGCATAGAAAAACGATTACAGTGGATATTGTGATTACTGATTAGTGATAAGTGATAACGTTGGGTTTAGAACATGATAACATGATACTCGTAAACAAGTATTCGATTGTTGACATTAATATGTGCAATATTTTGTGGTGCTCTTTTCGTAGTGACTAGTGGTATAGGTAAACTTGAAATTTTAACCATAGATTCCCAACTTGGGCAACTACCCCAAACGACGGTAATTCATAACATTTGGGTGAGGGGTGTCAAAAGCAAACAATTTTTCATTGCTTTTACATTAATCGAGAAAAATAAAAAGCTGGTACCTAATGAGTAATGAGTGTGTTAAATTAAAATTCAATGATATAAAATGATTGTAATATTGTATGCTAAAAACGATTCTGAACGAACATACGTTCTGTCAGCCTATAATATACTAAGTATATATACTTTATGATATTATTGTGATTAAATTTATTTATTTTACTATTAGGCATTACTGCATTAGTACCTACTACAGTCTTCAGTAGGTTAAATAAGTTTTTTCCAAATATAATAATATATTTTAAAAGTTTCGACTTTCAAGTAGGTACCAAAGAATAATATTTTTAAATTACAACAAAATAACTAAAACCGTTATTCTTGGTTTTAATATGTGATTTCATCCAACTTTGAACTTAAAATAACTATAAAAAAAACTGTTTATATATTTTTAGAATTTTCGGTTACAAAAACACTTACTTGAAACTATGTTTTCAGATCTTTTTTACAAGTAGTTTATCACCTATAGTCCCTATGACTTATAAATATTTTAATGTTTAGAAAAAGTTGTTTTTAGATTCTGAGTGAAACAATGAAAGTATTGATTTTACAATGATGTGTTGACGGTTTGGTATAGTAAAACTGCTTCAATTTTCTCCAATTGTTCGATGGAAAAGTGAATCTAGTTGGTGCATTCGGGAGGTCAAATTTTAAAATATTTTTAAAAGCGCCGGAATAAACAACATAAAAATACAGGAAAAACGGGAATTTTTACGTAAATCGGGTTTCCACGAAATCGATTTTGGCTTTTGATGTAACTCTAAAACAAATAAACGTATATATATGAAATTTCCACTGGTTGTTTGTATTTGCATTTTCTATACGCGATAAAATTTTCAAAAATTTAGATTTGTTTTGAACTGTTTAGGAACATTTTCAGTTTCAAATTCTTTTTAGATTTTTTTCTATGAATGTCAATAAATTTTATTCGTTGGGTAAAAAAGCTTGAAAATACAAGGCTCCTAATATCGTTACTATGACTTGAAAAATATTAAAAATTCTTAGAAGTTATTTTAGTCACAGTTTTTTTTTATAAGCATATAAAATTTAAATATTGTAACTTTAAAACAAATGAAATTTTGAGAGAATGTTTATATTAGCATTTTCTATACACTGTAACGTTTTAAAAATGTTTTAATTTATTTTGAACTGTTTAGGCACATTTTCATTTTCCATTTTTTTTTTAGTTTTTTTACTAAAAATATCAATACAATTTTATTTGTAAAATTTAATACAAGGCTGCAACTATATTGTTACAATGGCATTTGAAAAATATTAAAAATCCTTAGTCACAGTTTTTTCTTATAAGCATTTAAAGTTCAAAAATTGTGTTTTTTTTATTTAGTTATCACCACAGCAATTCCGTTGAATGCACTCCTGGTATAAATTGACAATGTTGTAAGTGAAATTGTCAACGCAACTGTTGGGTTTAGTTGAATTAACAAGCCATTTTTGTTGAATTGACTACAACTGATTTAGTTAGCACCAAGGCGATTCTATTGCATGTACTCCTGGTATAAATTGCCAATGTTTTACATGAAATTGTTAACGCAACTGTTGGGTTTAGTTGAATTAACAAGCCATTTTTGTTGAATTGACTACAACTGATTTAGTTAGCGCCACGCCAAGTCTATTGCATGCGCTCCTGGTATAAATTGCCAACGCAACTGTTGAGTTTAGTTAAATTAACAAACCGTTTTTGTTGAATTGACTACAGTCTACAACTGATTTAGTTAGCACCAAGGCAATCCTATTGCATGCACTCCTGTCTCCTGGTATAAATTGCCAACGTTTTACGTGAAATTGTCAACGCAACTGTTGAGTTTAGTTGAATTAACAAACCGTTTTTGTTAAATTTACTACAGCTGATTTAGTTAAATCAACCATAATATTGTTTAGATATTCGACAAGTTTTTTATCTATTTATTTATGTGTCTGTCATTCTACTGTTATTTTATATTCTGAGCGGATCGATGAATGTATTGATTTTACAATGTGTGTTTTTTTTTAATTTTTAATTTTTTTATTTTTGTGTCTGTCATCGCCTTTTTGAGACAGTAAAAATGCTTAGATTTTCTTCAACATTATCTTTTCTGATAGGAAAGTGAATCTAGTTGATTTTTTTTTTTTTTTGGGGGGGGGGGGGTCAAAAGTAAATTCCCAGTTGTTTTCAAAAGCGACGTGAAAAACAAAAGAAAAATTAAGGAAAAACGAGAATTTTTACTCAAAATCTGTTTTCTAGAAAATCGATTTTGGTTTTTGGTGCAACTCTAAAACAAATGACCTTAGGTAAGTGAAATTTTGACTGAATGTTTATATTAGCATTTTCTATACACCATAACATTTTTCAAATATTTTGACTTGTTTGGAGCTGTTTACGGACATTTTCAGTTTATACTTTATACAATTATTTTAGTTTTTTTTTCTATAAATATCAATAAAGTTTTATCAGATAGGCCAAAAAGTGTAAAAATGTAATACAAGGCTCCTGATATATTGTTACAATATCAGTTGAAAAATATTAAAAATACATAGTCACAATTTTTTTTGATAAGCATGTAAAGTTCAAAAATTGACAAAATATGGAAAAATCACGAAAATTATCAAATTATTTTGAGATATTTGAATTCGTATAACATTTTTCTTTTTAAATCTAAGATTTTAAAATGTAATACAAGATTCCTTATAAGATTATCTACTTTTGTCAAAAAAAAAAAAATGTCTATAAGAAAGTCAAATTAAATTTTTATGAGCTTTTGAAATTCAAATTTTTACAATATCAGTTGAAAAATATTAAAAATACATAGGCAGAATTTTTTTATAAGCATTTAAAGATCTGCAAATTTTGACAATATTTATTAAATTTAAAATTGAATAATTATTTTGTAGTTAAAAATTTATAAAATATTCAACTTTTTTATCTAAGGATTGAAAATTTAAAACAAGATTCCACGTAAGTATTTAATTCTGTTACCAAAAAATCTAAAAAATACATACGCACAGTTTATTTTTATAGTCATTTTAAGTTCAAATTTGGATGAAATTACTTAAAAAAACCTACAATAACTATTTTAGTTAT